AGTGGGGATGCGGAGGTCATCCGCAGGCACCCACAACAAGCCCTTCCCTCCCACTTCAAGACCTGGCACGAAAGGAGTCCAGCACCAGCGACGGCCAGAACATTCCCTTCCCTCGGGCTTGGTGACTCACGCCATCTATTTCCTTCTTGGATGAGAAGTCACCAAGGGGCTAAGATTTGGCTCCGGGGACAAAGAGTATCGGTGGGTGGCCTTCACGCCAGTTAAAGGCACCCCTTTATGTGACAGCTGGCTTGCCCCTTTGGCAGCCTGGAGCAGCTTCTGAACCGGCTCTGCCATCTGGGGAAAAGGAAAAGCACTTTGCACATGCTCTGGTTCAGAATTTGGGATGCCAACCACCTTGCGAGGCTGACCCACCTCCAAGCCTTTGCGGCCTGCGCTGCGTGGGGGTGCCAGGGACCGATCCACACCCACCTGCCTGCCAAACAGGTGCTGGGCCCCCATCCCTCCGGCTGCCAGAGCAGATGCCCTCCTGGGCTCCATCGGCCTGGCTTCCTGCCACCCCCTTATTTTGAGACCAGCCCCAGAGCTGACTTGTGAAATGTTTTTGCAACTTATTTGAGCTGGTTGCTTAGTTGGGTTTATTTTTGTCTGCTTTGTTTCTTGGCTAAAAAAAGAAAGAAAGGGAAGCCGTAACGTTTCTCGTAAGAGGTTCTATTTTGGGTGCATTTATTGCAGTCAGTGGTGGGGCATTGGGGGGGCCAAGGGGGGGGGCTCAGGATCCCCAAATTCAGGAAGTGTCCAGCTTCTGATTTGCTTGCTTGCTGGATCCCAAAAGATCCTGAATTCAGGCACAGAAAAGAGATCCGGTTTCTAGGGGAAAAGTTCAACTCGCCTCTTCTAAAAGTAGGTCGTGTTTTCATGGGGGGGGGGGGTGGAGGCGTCCTCCTTGGTGCAAGATAACAATCTGGGTGTTTTTTTCACTAGCAACTTTAGCAGCAAATTCCCCCCAGAAACGTCTTTATGCTTTGCTTTTCCTGTCCAGCAGCACTTCTGAAGGAACTCGAAGGGGAGATAAACATCAAAGCTGCTTTATCCAGAGAGAAAACTTGGGGGAACCTGGAAAGGCAACAAGCAGGAGATGAAAACGGGGCCTTTTCCCACTAGCAGGAAATCCACTTTGTCTTCCAGCCATGAGAAGGATCAGAAACAGAAACTCTTCGCCCACTTTGGGCCTCTCAGCCATTCAGGCGACCGGATTTTTCCGGCTGCTGTCAGCACCCTCAAAGGGGCGGCTTGATCCCCGCCAGGCTTCCTCCTGCCAGGCACAAACCGCAGGATTGGACCCTCAGGATTTCCCGGTCTGAACGCCAGGGACTAGTAACTTGAAGCCTCTCTGAAGCATTGAAGGCAGCCACCCATGTGTAGGCACCAACGTTTTAAGGAGGTGCCTGTGGATGTGCCTAGAAGGTTTTTGCACTCCTAAAGGCTTCCGAAGAAATAAGCAATTCCATTTGTTGTTTTTTAAAAGGCAAACTCAATCCTTGAATTGAGAGGAAAATGTTCTCTTGGGAATATTTAGACAATCTGCCCCCTGAGCATGTGCAGAATCCCTTTGGCACCAAGCCAGAAGCTTGTAGGGGGAAACATTGGGCCCTCAATCTCAAATGTTTTTTTTTTCTTTTTCTCTTTCCCCCACTTTTCTTTGAATTCCTTTCCTTTTCCTTGGATTTCTTTGAATTTTTCAGGCCAGTTCCCTGGTTTTTGGTCTAATTTCTCTCTCTTCCCTTTCTAGGAAAGGAAATTCTTTCAAGGCATAAACAGTTTATTGAAAACATCCCCTTAAAAAGGAACAAGAATAAAACATGTAATTTTCCACATTGCTAGACTGGTTGCTGTTTTTTTTTGTCCTAATAACAACAAACAGCCCTTTCCCCCACATTTTAAATGCTGGGGCGCCCTTTCTGCAATAAGAGGAAATTAAAGAGAGTAAGATCAAAAAAGAACAGACGCCTTCTTAAGAGTTTTATTTCAATTTTTTATGGTGGCTAAATCACTTTGGTTAGCAATTCCAGAAAATAAAAAATAAAAATAAACGAGAAGTGCATTCCTGATTGCCAGATGAAATTAAACATCTGTTTTTTTCCTGCTTCTTTCTGCAGACAGCTACAGATTTATTAGATCTAATATTTACATTTAGTAGAAATGCAACCTTTGATTTAACAGAGCAATTGTGAGGTTGAGGTTCTGTTATTCTAGAATGTTTGTTAAATTGCAAATTGCCTCTTTCAGGCTGGTTTAAATTATGTCAGTTGCTGGTTTAGCTTCTTTTGGGGTATTTTTTATCCTCTCAAACTCTCTGGTTGTTAAAAGCAACCTCAGAAAAACAACAGCCCACAACCTGACCACAAGCACAACTGAATTCACAAAGGCACTTCTCTCTTTGCCCTGCGTCCTTTCAAGCGGTCAACCCGAGACCTTCAGGTCCAGTAACCTGAACAGGAAAGTAAATCAAATACATCTTAACAGCCCAAATAAAACCAGCAGGGTTCCTAGCTTTATAGTTTCGGATTTTATAAGTGTATGTGGCGTTTTTTTATTCTGTAAATGTTTGCAACTGTAAATATTTCCCGGGCGTATGGATTCAAACACTTTCTCGTGTTGCTGAGGTTTTTCCTTGTTGGTCAGCCAAATCCCAGCTGCCAAAAAGGCCATTTTCTCTTCCCTGGGTTTAAACAAGCCATGGCTTCTCCAGGACCGGAGCAACCCACGCAGCTGAGTTTCTCCAAGGGCCATGAGGACAGCCGTTCCATTCCCTGGACGAGATCTCTTTGGCCCGGCTTGGCAACGACAGAACCCCGGGGGCGCCTTGTGGTTCAGAGAAGAACTCCAAAGGACCACTTTGAAAGTCACCAACACACAAACAGGGACACACAAAGCAAACATTGCACGGCCTCTGTTCCTTTGGCAGCCAGAACTGGGGTGGGGTGGGGAGATTAGCAGCTCGCTTGGGGGAAAAAACCCTCCCCCTCCACCTTTCCATCCATCGTGACCTGGCAGACACAGTGGTGTGGCCAGCCTAAAATGGAAAAACTTTGTGCAAGTGAATGCTACACCTCTCAAGCCAAGCCCAGCAGAGAGGCCGTTTTGTGGGGTGGGGGACGACAGAGGGTGTGTGTGGATGGCCCGTGTAAACAAGCGGGTGGGGGGGGGGCTTACTCTCCAAATCTCGGTGCAAGGAACGGGCAGAAGGCAAAACCAGCTTTTTTCTCCTATTCCACCACCCTTCACTTCATCACTGGTGCCCTGACTGTACCACATGGTGCAGCTAAGGAACCCAAACAACTAAATAGCCCAGAAAATATTTCTAAAAATCACATTTTAAATCCCTGAATGGAAACCACGTTCAGTCTGCAGGTTCACACAGACAAGCTTAAAACAACTGTGGTCTTCCTAACAGTTTCATCTTCTAAGAACTTTTCAACTTACAATAAGATGAAAAAGAGCCCGTTAAATAAACCAGGGTTTCCCACCCACTGCCAACAATGCAGAGGCCTAATTTTCACTTTCATGCATGCCCCTGCAGCGTTATTTTAAACCGAGGAAGGTTTGCCCCTCCTCCACTGTATTTTTAAAGTCCCTCTTCGCCCTGTGAAACCCCACCCGCCTCATTTCAAAACTCTGTTTCATGGCTTTTATCTATGATGCGAACATTAAGTTTCCCAGCTAAATCAAAATGACAAACTGAACTCGGCTTGTCCCTCACTGTGTCTGCTCAAAAGCCCTTAAAAAAAAAAATCCATTGTCAGTTTGCCATCTATCAGAACAAATGGGGGTGGTGGGGGGAATTAATCCTACTATTTTTAACCGCCTGAGTTTGGCTCCTTAAAATAGACTATCACAACATCAATTAATCTATTTCATAACGTCTCATCTTGTTACCCAACGCTGCTTGATTTATAATACCGCTGGATGAACATTTAAATCTTCCTGGGATTATTGCTTCAAAGGTTATCAATTGCTTGCCGCAAAACGCTTCTATTTTGTAGCCAACAAGTAGCTGTCCCTGAGCAGGGATATTTCTGTGTGAATTTTTGAAATGTTGCTGCTGCATAATTGTTCTTAAAGCAACTATCAGTAAATACGAGGCACCCAGAAAGCCTGAACAAGCAAGATCACAGCATCTATAGGATGACTTTAATGGCCAGAGGCATTTCTTCCATTTAGTGACTCGATTGGAACACACAGGAAACCGAGAACAATATGGGATCATATGTCCTTCTGCCAGTATCTTCAGTCCACACAGTGTTGGCTGGGCCCCCAAGATCACTTGCATTTTCCATGCTGTGGGGCCAGAACATTGTTCCCCACCCACAAATCCAGGCGTTTAAAAGCCCCCCCCCTCCCGCTTTGAGGGTCCTGGGGTCCAACCGGGAGCCTCCCTGCCTCTAGCGGTCGATGGCCGATGACCCTCCGTCTCAAGGGCGCCCAGAGGGAGGCAGTGGCCAGCCAGGGCTGCCCTGAGGGGCTCTGCTGCCCCCCTCCCAAATTCAGAAGATCCTTCCTGGAAAAACACATAAAAACCAGAGCCCCATTTGAGCAGCGTCCAAGCCTGGAAAAGGGAGGCCAAGCAACAGGCAGCCAAGACTGCTTGCTGAGCACACATGTGGAAGAGCCAGATTTTGAGGTGGGGGGGGCGTCCCCATGAGAGGCTGTGCATGACCACCGTTTGGGGCAGAGCCTTCCCAGCACAAATTCAAGGGAGCCCCTTCTTGGCAGAGGGGGGGGGGCATGAAACTCTCCAATCTGTGGGCAGACATTTGTAGCGCCAGCAGCAGGAAGGGTGAAGCCAAAAGACAGCAGCCTCCCCCCCTCCAAACCCCCCCACCCCCACCCCCTGGCTCTCAACGTGGAGCACCGAGCTCGCCTCTTAATCCAAAGAGGCTGGAAGGCTGTTCCAGAAGGAGCTTGCATGGGAGGGCCGGGCGGGGGGGGGGGGGGGGGGGCGGGGGAAAGAACCACAACAGGACAAAGTTGCATTATTTTTCCAAAAAGTGGTTTATTTGTCGGACCCTTTGCCTCTGGCACGAGGCCAAGTCATCCCTCCCTCCCAAGGCATTTGTGACAAGCAGAGAGTTTAGGATTGGTCACCAGGCAGAAATGCAGCTGGGAAGAGCACGATGCCAACCGGCCGCCACCTTCGGAGCTGGCAAGCACCATTCAGGTGGCGGCTAGGCCCTTCTGTGTTAGGGAGGCCCGCAGGCCCGGTGGGGAGGGGGCTGCAGTTTGTAAGCTCAGCCCAAATCGACTCCTTTCTCCAATCCACGGGGCTTCCATTCCTGGCCCCCAAAGCTGGATCCTAAAGACCAGTGGATCCCTTCAGATGGAGCAGACAAGCCACGGCCAATCCTTCTGCAGGGGCCCATACGGGCCAGAGAGGCATCCAGGATCTGGAGCAGCCCACAGTTGAGGGGCAGCCACCTCCCCTGGGCCAGCTGGCCAAGCCAGGGGAGGTCTGTGGGGCACAGGCGGAGCCCCCTTTTCTATCCCCCCAGATGCCTAGAATCACCCCCAAGTGCTCTCAGCCAAGCCAAGAAGGAGCTGTGACCAGCCTGCGGCTTCTGTCAAGGCGGTAAAGTGCATGGAAGGAGGGTCTCCAGGGAGGCCCTCTTGGATCATAAAGTCAGTGGGGGGGGGGAGAAGGTTTCTGGTCCCACCCCCAGATTCAGGGAGGGAGCCAGCCAGAGGGAAGGAGAGGCAGAGATGGGCTGGTGGGGGGGACAGGATCAGGCCCCGGGAGGGTTCAAGGGGCCGCCTGGGTGGGAAGCACGATTTCTTCCACCACCTCCTCCGCCTCTTCCTCTTCCTCCTCCTGCTGCCTTTGGAGGAGGGAGACGTGTCCCAGGTAGCTGCGGTCGAAGCAGTCGTTGCGGGCGGCTTCCTCTGTCTGGGCGCAGCACTTCTGGGGGTCCTTCCAGCTGCGCCTTTGGGAGCTGCAGAAAGCGGTGATGAACTGCGATTTCTGGGGGAGGAGGAGGAGGAGGAGGAGGAGGAGGAGGAGGAGAATTATTGAGGGGCCAAACCGAACTCCTTCACATCCGGCCCTTTGAAAGCAGCTGCTTCCCTTCATCGCTTCCGATCGCACTCAAGGGTTCCGGATCAACTCACTTGGGGTGGAAAGAGGCTCTTGGGAGCCCAGCCCTCCCCGGGGGGGAGAAGATATGAGAAGAGAGCCCCCCCCCCCGCTCCAGATGGGACACTCACCACTCCTTGGGCGCAGAGGGTCCGTTCGCTCTCTGGCAGTTTGCAGCAGGACTCTGTGATGTTCTGGACCAAAGCTGGCCTGGGCTTCCTGGAGAGCAGCACAAAAGGAGGAATGCCACACTCAGGGCTCGGGGAAGCCGGGAGAGGCGGTGGGGGCGGAGATCTGCAGCCCCTCAAATCTCCCAAACCGATTTTGGAGACTAAACATGCTGGCTTAGTGCATTGGTGCGTTTCACATGGCAGCCACAAGAGGGCAAATCCGACCTCTTGCATTTAATTGCTGTAATTTATAGGAACCCATCAAACGCACCACAACCCATCAATTACAAACACACACACACACACACACACACACACACACGGGTGTTTGAAGGGCTCTTTGGGGGGCTCCTGAAAATCTGCCAGCTGTACAAACTTCTACTGGTATCCTAACCGGTTGGCGTAAATGGCACCAGAGCACAGCACTCTTACTCCACAGGCTGCCTGCCAGATGGCTTGGACTACCACCTCCATCACTCCCTGCCAGAAGAGCCCAGCCCACATGAAGAGGGAGAGCTTCAGAGAAGGGGAGATAGAACCTCTTCCCGGCAGCTCCAACCCAACCGGCCAAACATTTTACAGATTAACAGAGTTGGAAGGGACCTTGTAGGTCATCTAGCCCAACCCCCCCCCATCCAAGCAGACTCTAGGATGTGGGTGAGAGAGACTCACTGCTCGTCCTGGCTTGTTGCTTGGCTGCAAATGGAGTCCAGGATGGGGGTGGTGAGGTTGGCCAGGTCCAGCCATTCCCCCTCGCCCTCGTACTTGGGGAAGGGCGCTTGTCTGGCGAAGCAGTTGAGACGGTCCTTGCGGCCGCCCGCACGGCAGCAGTGGAAGGGCAGAGTCTTGGTCGAAAACTCCTGCTTGCAATACCGGGCCAGGCACTTTTCCCACTGGAAAAGGGGAGGGGAGAGAAACAAGGAAAATGGATTAGCTCCCCCTGTGCGAAGGACCAGGAAGGATCTGCCTTAAAAGGTGGGAAGACTCGGAGGACAAAAGGCTAAGCAAGAAGCTAAACCAAAGGTGGGCAACTAGGTCTCCTTTCCGACCTGTGGACTTCAACTCCCAGAATTGCTGAGCCACCCAGAACCAAATCCAGCCGGTTTCACAGCCCAGGTAAACAGGTAAACACTTTGTAGGTTTTTTAATTAGACCTTCTGCAGAATGATAAGGGTGTGTGTAAACTCAGCACCACAGGCCCAGCCTAGCTGGCTTGCAAAACTTGACCTCGCAATATGCACAGCGGCCCACTCGGTTCTGCCTTCCATGTGAGACTTCTGGATGGATGTGGCCCTCCCTCCGAGATTTGGGGGGTGGGGGGAACAGGAGGAAGTGCAATCCAACTGAACCGGCCATTATTTAAAATTTATTTGGTGGAGAAGGGATGCGCTGCAGGACTCCGGAGTCACCCAGCGACCGTCTTTTTTAAGAGCACAGTTTCCAGTCGCTTCCCGCACCTGGCCAGGAGGGGCCAGGAGAGTTTGGGTTGAGCCTGGCTGAAAGGAGACCTTGCAGGGCGTTGCTGAAGTGACCCAAACGCACAAAGGCACCCAGAGGCGCAGGGAAGACTCACCTCGTTGGAGGCACAGGGCAGCTTCTGGTCCTCGGCCAGCTGGCAGCAGCGGGTGAACTGGCGCTCCAGCTGGTTCAGGGCCTCCCCCTGGCGCGAGAGGTGGCTGAAGCTGGTCTGGGGCAGGTTCCAGGGCCCGTAGCTGGGCTTCGTCCGCCCCGCAGAGCAGAGGGCCCCCAGGTTGCTGAGGGAGGGGCGGCCTGGTGGGAACTCTTCCAGCTTGTAGAAGGGGGGTTTACGGGTGCAGCCCACCTCCTTGCAGTGGCGGCCGCTCCCTCTGGGCTGCAGGGGCACCGCCTGGGGCTCCCCGTGGACCAGAATGGGCAGCTGTTGCCCTAAATGGGGAGGAAAGAGGGGGCGGGGGGTTACTATGCTGGCTGGGTTCAGACAAGTGACAGACAAGCACCGAACAGGCTGCTGGCTGGCTGGCTGCACCCAGGAAGATCTCTCTCCTCTGGATCTCATTTTCCTTTGCTTTTATTTATTTATTTATTTTGCTCTTTCGTTGGTTCCTTTGCTTCCCTGTCCCCCACACCCCCACAGATCTTTCAGCCCCTCCTGTTGTTGGGGGGGAGACACCAAGCTCCCTGCAGAATGAGGCCCTTGGTGAGCCTTGAGGATGTTGGGCTTAGCTGGCTCCAAGCAGTGGCGCTGAAGCTCTTTCCCGCAGGGGGACTTTGGGTCCGGCTGTCCCCTAAGCCCCCAAGGGCCTCCCTGCCGCTCCTCAGCAGCCCCCTCACCGTCTTCTAGGTTTTCCTGGATCTTCTGCAACAGGAACTCCCGGGAAATCGCATCGGGAAGGACGGCGTGTTGGGAGATGTCGGCCGGGAACTGCGCTGGTGGAGGCTGATCGTCTCCATTGGCTGGGAGAGGAGGAGGAGGAGGAAGAGGAGGTTAACCGTGGATTGGGCCCAGAAACACACCTCTGCTGCTGATAAGCCATGGTTTGTTTAGCTGTGCTTTCCCAGTGAACTCCCACCTGGCTGAACAGCATGCTGAGCCAGCCCTTGGTCAAGCACATGGTGGTCCAATCAAACACATAACCTGCACTAAACCAGGGCTTGGTTGTGGTTTGTTTCATGCACTTTTAGTGGAAGCGGGGCTTTCAGGCTGGAAGAGAGCCCCCCCCCCAGGAGAACAGAAGCAGCCCCCTCCCCAGCGCTGAGTTATGGATGATGGGACGTGTGGCGAGCAGCAGCCATGGAGACAGGGGAAGCGCTACTGCTGCCTTGGGCTGAGCCACACCCACTGCCCCCCGCTCGGCCGGTTCCGCCCCAAATTCCCACCCCAAAAGGCAGATTCAGGCGGAAGCAAACTAGCTAGGCCAACTTAATTGGCACCTGAAGGGATTAGTCAGGATGAGGCTTCCCAGGAATGACACAGCACCTCGGCCCAAATCATCACACTTGCAACTACTCCGCGGTTCTTGGCCCGGCCTCTTGGCAGAGCTGACCCTGGGGGGGGGGGGGTGGGGGGGGGAAGGGGCCAGCAGCCCAAGGGGGGAACCGTTTTCCTGGCTCCCCTTCCCCTGGATGGGCCTTTTTGGCTTCCTTTCTCCATCACTCAGCTGGAGGCCATCGGGCACCGGGAGGAGGAAGGGCAGGCGGTGCCCACTGTGCTCCTTCCCTCCCCCTGCAGGGGCTCCTCAAATGGCAGCTCTGGCAGTTGCCATTGGGGGGGGGGGTCCCTTGAGTGAACACAGTCTTGCTCTCCTCCATCCATCCAAGTCGCCCCGGGTAGCCTCCCCTCTTCAGCACGAGGACAGACCCCCAGCCTCCCCACACCGAAGGGTGCCCGGTCCCTGGACTCCCGCCCCCACTGGCAAACTCTGGGGCGACGCCGGGACCCTCCTTCCCTTGAGCCCCAGGAAGGCACCGCTGCAGCTGCCCTCCCCCACCGCTGAGCCGGTCCTGGGCCAGCAGAAACCTCGCCCCCTTTCGAGGAGGGTGGAAAATTTCCAGGCGCTCCGAAGTCCCCCGGCCAAGCCGTTTGGCTCCGATAACCGACCACACAAAAGGAGGTTTTCCCTTCGCTTTTCCCCTCGGGGCACCACGCAAGAGCCAGCAAGCAGGGACCGAGCGGGGCGGCTCCGGGTTGGGAGGAATCGCGCTCGGCCCCCCAACGGCAGCCCCGGGGCCTGGAACCCGCCCCGAGCGGAACCAGCTGGTTTCAGGCCACCCAAGCGGGCCGGGAGGAGAGGGCCGGGGAGGCGGCGCTGCGCCCTGGGCCCTTTCGCCCGGACCCCCCTCCCTCCGGCCGACAGAAAGCGGGCTGTCCTTGGGGAGGGTGGAGGAGCGGGGCGGTGTGGGCTGCCCGCCCAGAAGCGCCCCTCCCCGGGCAGCCCCCTCCCCTCTCTGTCCCTCCGGCCCCGGGGCGCTCCTCAGGAGGCGAGTCCCCGGCCAGGACCCCCCTCCTCCCGCCCTCCCGGTCTTCCCTCTGGCCGCTCCCCGGAGCGGCTCCTACCTGGCGGCGGCGTCTGGCTCTCCGAGCGTGTCCAGGCGGGCCAAGCGGCCAGGTAGCAGAGGCAGAGCCAGAGGGGGCTCATCGCGGTCATCGCTCCGGTGCTTCTTGCTCGCTCGGGGCTGGATGGCTGCCGCCGCGGCTCCAGCCCTTTTATCCCCGAGCGCTCGGCTGAGACGCCGCCTCCACGGAGGGCGGGACCCGCCCCGGAGGCGGGCCGGGCCCGGAGCAGCGTCGTTGGAGGGGGGACCGCGCCCCCTCCCTTCTCTGCACCCCCGAATCCGCTTACAGGGCAAGAAAAAAGAAGAAGCGGCGGCGGCAGAAAACCACACCCGGAGTTGGTTGTGACACCGCAGCGGGGCATTGCCTAATCCGGGACGGGGCGGGGGGAGGCAAGGCCGGGCTCCAGCTGATGGATAGGGACCCCCCCCCGTTTATCTCTGCCCCTTTGCCTGGGGATGGCGCCCCTAGAAGCCCCCTCCCCCAGCCCCACAGCTCCTAGCACGCAGCGCGGGGGCTCTGAAAAGGCATCCTGGCCATCGGAAGGAGCCATCCCGGGGTAGATTTCCTCGATCTGGGCTGCCGGCTGGGGCAGTCATTGCACCCGGTAGAAGCGGAGCCAGATAAACTCCGCAGTCCAGAAAAGGGGGCGGGTGGGGAGGGGGCCTCTTTGGCCAGAGCAGAGCAGGCTGGAAGAGCTTCCCCTGGCCCCGTGTCTCCTTTGAGGGGACAACCCCAACATTGCCCTGTTTGGAAGGGATCTGTTTGTCCCAGGGCCGCGCCTCTCGAGGTCTATTAGATCACCAACTGAGGCCTGTTTTCAACCAGATGGTTAACTCTGGTAACCCAGAGTTCGCTGGGCTGCAATGTTCCCTAAATTGTGGGAATAGGCACACTCTCCCAGGATAAGGGTGCAGGGAATTGGGTGCAGAATCTTATGGGCTACGTAGTACACGTTTTCTATAATAATAGATCAGTAGAAATCTCTTCAGACGGGACACTTTTAGGCGGCTGATGTAGATGCTGAGTGACCAGTGACTCCTTTTGAGTGCCAGCCCTTCTAATCAACATTTTGGGGCTTCGGTCAGTGTTTCGCTCCTGGGGGGGGGACCTGGACCAAATCGTGATGTTTCCTTGGCAACATTTTTAAAATTGGCGTGCCAGGCTGAAGAATTCTAGGGGGGGGGGAAGTGGGGTCATGGCCCCTCCAGATGTTGTACTTTTGAAATGCTGTCAGCTGAAACCACAGTCACTTGCTCAACCGGGTGGGTTTCGTTCCCCCCCCTCGAACCCTGACCCCCATCCGGTGGTCCTTTGCCTGAGAGCATGCGTGGCCGGCGTGGGCGAAGGGAGACGTGTGACCGCAGAGTCAGCAGATCCAAAGCCACCTCTGGGCTCCCAGGGCCGAAGGCTTCTCCACAGGGAGCACAACCAGCCCCCGAAACTCCCCAGACCAAAGTGGTTTCAGAGGGATTAAGGTGAAGACTGACAGCAAAACACGGCGACATATTTCTGCCACTTGTTAATCACGCATTTTTGTGATTTGTAATAGTGGAGTGACTTAAAAGCAAACAAACAGCAACAGTTAACTGTGGGGAAGTATCCGGCTCTTGGCTTTTTCTCGAAACTTAAGAGGGGGCTAATTTTGGAAGGGCTGAAGAAGTACCTGGAAGTCAGGGTGAGCCCTAACTCAGGAAACAAAGAGGTGGTTTGACTCTTCCACTTCAGAGTGTTGCAATGTGTCCCACTATATTTAATTTAGAGTCTTAAAACTGGATTTCTCCTTTCTCTGCCTTTGGCCTTATGATTCGGTTTTATGGTTTGGAGGTGAACTGAAGGCCCCAGCAGGAGGCAGACATCCATCTCTGGGATGTCCAAAAATGAATCAAAAATGGGGGGGGGGGATCTTGGTGGGAAAGTGGCCTGAAGCAATCAGCAACCCCCCCTTTCTCTCCCCCCCCCTTCTGCTGCTGTTGACTACAAAAGGGAGATTAAAATCAGGAATTAACTTCAGGAAAAAAATTCCTCACTTCTTTGTGAATTGTTTAGCTCAAGTCCAGCCAAAGCTGCAGCTCATTAGGGAAGCAATCTTTTTGGGTTAGGGTAAAACCTCAGTATCCAATGCATGTAGGCCAGTGGTCACTCTGGGGTAGAAAAATGAATTCTACACGTGCTCAGAGATTAAACTTTTAAAGCCTTCTTCCTCCACGCAGACTCAGGAGCCCCATTCTGCAGAATTCGCCTTCATCGCCAGGAATGCCTGGCCCAACGCAGCACCCCTTCAGCCGGCAACTCCCACCCCCTCCCTCTTCGATGGTTCTGCAGCTGGGGTGTCAGTCAGCGAGCCTCAAGGGAGATCCTCCCCCCAAAAAAGACAGACTGAAAGGAGGCCACCCTGGGAATTTCAAGCGCAAATGTGAATTGGCAACCCTTAAAATATTAAAAAGCACACCTGTAACTTTTTATTTTCCCCCATCCTTCCTTCATTTTACTTTGCTGCCCCCGTCACAAATGCTTTTTTTTGGGGGGGGGGGACCTTAAGTTTTTAAACAGTCCCTTCTTCCTTCTTGTTGAGTTTCATTTGCAATGTTCCTGTCTGGCCCACTGAATTGTCCTGCCAGCCGCTGTTAAGTGAAATTTCCTGGTTTTCCCCTCTCTTGCGGAGCCCAAGAGCCCTTCAGGGGTTGTGGGGAAGGTCCCGGGCTAGGAAGCCCCCGAGCAAGAGGGGATGGCCAGGCATCCTCTCTGGGGGCAGCTGACCTGTGGCTGGAGGAGAGCCGGCGCAGCTGAGTGTTAAACCACACGAGCCACAAGGCACCGCTGGTCGCTGGTCGTATTTGTTTGGCTTCGTCTGGCCTGGGGTGATGCAGGAGCTCAAGCCAAGGAATTGGCTGCAAACATCCTGAATCTCCCTGCTGGCTCCCTGGGTGAAGCCATGGGATTCAGGAAGACCCTCCCCATTTTGCTATATAGCGAGACAGAGAATCTCTTCCCTTCCCCAGGTGGGGCCACCGAGGCTGTGGGGCAGCAGAACGGCTGCGCTCCGTGGCCCCAGAGAGGCAGCTGGGTGTCCCTGCATCTTTCCGGGTCAAGGTGGCCTCACCTGGCCCTGGCTGGAGAACAGCCTGCCAGGAATGTCCCCGGGGCACCAAGGGCTTCTGCCAGCGCAGATCTCAGCCAAAGTTTATCGGGGAAATGAAGGGCACCTGCTCCTCCTCATCCTCGGAGGGAACGTGCAGCCCGAGGCCGTGTGTGTCGCAAGAGCCACCGAGGCTCAAGAGAGCTCAGCACCTCCGTGCCAGGATGAGTAACAAAGCCAGGAAGGAACAAAGCCGTCATTGTCCCTGGGTGGGTTTGGGACGTGCAGCAGAGGCCAAGCCCTTGCCTCCCCCTCCTCTAGAATTCAGCCGGGAAAGTCCCTGGGTGGGGGGGGAGGGCTGGCCTTAATGGGGAAGGCCTGCTTTGAAAGGGGGGGAGAAGAAAGAGAGAGAGAGAGAGAAAGTCAAAAGGGAAGAAGGAAGGAAGGCTTTCTCAGAGGAGTGGAATTTTCAAGGCTCCAGTCCTCATTGTTTTTTAGCAGAAAGCCACGGGGAGGAGAGCAGGTGGGTGCGTGGGTGTCAGGGGCCGATTGCGCAAGGGAGCCCAGCCCGATGCCCACCGCCAGTGAGGGGAGGGCTGCGTTGCAACAGGGCCTCCCACTCACTCTTTGCTCACATGAGTCGGCGGACTCCCTGGAAAGCAGCTGTGGGGGGGGGGGGGAGCAGTTATGAAAGGCAAACATTGCAGGGACACGTCACTCCTTGAGAAACAAGCAGCCAGTTAGGGAAATGACACCCCCCCCATCCAGAACGGCCCCCTCCCCTCTGCAAAGCCACAAGACGGGCGAAGGCGGCAGCTCCGTTCCTGCCAGGACCCCGAGGGGGAAAAAGGGGCAATGGAAACGGGCCGGTAGGTGGTGGCTTTGGCCCCGTGCCCACCGCCTCCCCCCTCCGATTTGGACATCCGGGGCAGCCCCTCCCCCAAAGGAAGGGTGAAGGCCGGGGGGGGGGGCGGTTCTGGTGGGGAGGCTTCCCGGCACGAGGTCCCCAAAGGAGAACCAGGCGATGCCAGGTGAGGGTCCCTGCCCGGCTCAGGGGGCGAAGGACGAGCTTTCTGCATTTGGTGCCACCACTTGGCAGGCAGGAGAGCGCCGGAGTCCACAGCAACAGGAGCAGGCCCCTGAGCATGGGCAGAGCGCTGGCCTTACCCAGGTGCTCCCTGTACAAATTACGAAGGGCAGGTCTCACACGCACACACACACACATCGCAATTAAAGAAGCGGATGAGCCCAGTGCAGGTTGAAGGAGGTTTATTTCATTCTGCTGCTTTGGGGAGAATCAAAGTGCTGTGCCCCCCACGGAGGGTTAGGGAGCCCCGAGGGAGGAGGGGCTGCAACCCCCAGTGCAGCAGCGGCGGCCGGTCTCGCTCAGGCCTGTTTTGGACCTCGCCTGGGTCCCGGCACACCTGAGTCTGGGGGCCAAACTGTTTTTGGGAACCTGGAGAAGCCGCCACGTCACCAAGGCCGGCTCCGGCCTGGCTGGCACATCCTGTTCCAGAAAGCAGAGCCTTCCCGGTACACAGAGGTAGACTGCCTCGGAAGGTGGAGGTTCAGTTCCCCAGAGCATTCACAGGCGTGCCACGCATTTTTCTGAGACCGGAAGGGTCACAAGGAAGCTTCAATTGCACACACACACCCCCAGCCTCCCTCCTCTGCATCGGGGGAGCATTTCCAGCTCTCAAGTGGGGCTGGGGGGGCAGCTCCTGAGTCAGGACCCACCCCCAGAGCTTCCTCTGCCTCGGTCCTGGGGCCTCTGGGGGGGGGGGGGTCAGCTCTTATCAGCGGGGGCATCCAAGGATCCCCGGGAGGGAGGGAGGGAGGGGGAGGGGCTGCCTTCCTTGGCCAGGAGAGGCCTTTGCACCCCCTCCCCCAAATACAGCCAGGCCGACCTCCAGGGAAGTGGGGGGGGGAGGGCCCAGAGTCCCAGAGCTTCCCAGGACCTCCGGAGGGAGAAGGCCCAGGTAACGTCCTCCTGCAGGTGACTCTGCCCAGGTCATGCCAGGCGCTCCAGGGAGCTGTGCTGCCCACCGAGGGAGGGAGGCGTTTACAAGGAAGCGGTCAGCAAGGAAGGAGATCCTGAGCCCTTCTCAGCCTTGGCGCTCCTCAGTGAGGACTAGGCCCTTGGAACAAAGGCCGCGTGAGCCCCGCCTGCCCTTGGCTCAGAAGACCTCCTCCGCGTTTCTGACCCGCGTCTCCTGGAGTTCCCGCAGCCGGAGCTGCACCTGGTGCAAATCTCTCTCGCCGTGACGGTGGTTGTCGCGGCTGCGGACGTTCACGGTGCGATGGGTCACCTCCTTCCGGCCAACCACTGTGGGAGGGGGGGGCGGGGGAGGAGCCTTGAAGCAGCCTGGCCCCCAAACAGCCCCCCCCCCGGCCCGTTGCCCCAATCGCCCAACTCGGCCTCCCTCCCTCCCTGCCCAGCCGAGCCGAAGCGACCGAGAGGAGGGATCCCTGCCTGGGATCGCCTGGCGGGTCCTTTGGGCCAGCAACATGGGAGATCTGGTCCCCTCCAGAGTTCTGGCGGCCCCCCCCTTCTCCTGGCTCCGCGTCGCTCAGCCCGGGTTCCCCTCCCCCCCCCCCTCCCCTCGCATCCCGTCCCGGGCGATGCCAACGTACCAAACTGGAAGTTGTACTGGGCCAACTGGGCTTTTCGGATCTTCCGGTTGAGGGTCTCTCCCGAATCGGCATCCAGGTCTGCCTGGAACCCCGCCTGGCGGAAGATCCGGTGGACCTGCGTGGAGGAGAGGCCGGCAAGGCCGGTTCAGCTGCGCCCCCCCCCCCCACTGCCCCCCCCTCCCGGCTGCTCTTGTGCTGGGAGTCAGGGGGGCAACTGCCCAGATCTAGGGGGGGTTTCTCAGCTTGCCTGCCAAATGGGGGGCAATTTCCCCCACACCCCGGAGTTGATCCTGAGGCCTGAAGGTTCCCCCAGCCCCATTTCAGCCTTTCTCCCCGGGATTTCCATCCCCCACCCCCAATTCCCGGCTCAGCCATTGGGGGGGCTCGGCTCTCACCTCGCCAGCGTACTCCTCTGCGTCGGGGCCCACTGGAATCACCATGATTTGGGAGGGGGACAGCCAGAAGGGCCTGGGGGAGGGGAGGAGAGCGCACGGCTTGGCCCAGACACCCCCTCCAGCCCTGGCAACCCCCCAAACCCACTGCCCCTGCAGGCCCCTGCAGCCAGCCAGAAGCCTGGTGGGCCCCCTTCCTCCTAACTGGGAGCAGAGTTTAATCCCTGCCCCCTTGGGGGAGACCCCCCTTTTGAGACCCCCCCCCACTCAGCAGAAATTGGGGTGGGGGGGCAAGCGGGAAGCCCCCAACTCACCATTTGCCCCCGTAGTTCTCGGCCAGGATGGCCAGCATCCTCTCCACGGAGCCCAGCACTGCCCGGTGGATCATGACCGGCCTCTCGGGGGCCCCGCCGTCCCTTCTGCAGGGGAGAGACGAGGGCAGGGCTGGGACTTTTGGGGGGCACGGCCGGCCCTAGAGAGGCTGAAAAGGGGGGGACAGACAGGAACCTTGCCTTGGAGGGCTGAGGAAGGGTCTGGCCCAAAATGGCCGACTGGAAGAGCAACTCTGGGCCCATTTGGGGGTTCTGGCTGTGGCACTGGACCCCCCCCCCCTTCACTCCGGCTCTGCCCTCCCCTCCCCTCCCCAGCATTCCTGCTTGGCGGTTCATCTTCCCCGGGGGGGACGGGACGGTGAGGGGGCCTCAGCCGAGGGAAGGGAAAAGGGGAAATGACGGAAGCGCCTCTGCCGCCTGCCTGCGTCACACGAAGGGCCTCTGCGGTCACGGCCGGATTGCCTGCTGGAGGCTGACATTTAGATCACTGGGGGG